CCTCCGAGACCGGGGAGTCTGGGTCCTCCGGAGGACCCGTCCTGTCGTTTTGGACACAGCCATTGGCGGCAATGAAGAGCCGGTGAGAGCAGGACATTATTAATTAGATCTGTGACTTTATGTTTGGATTTTATAGTTGGTGTGTAGTTTTGAGTGTTTACTCTTCATTTTAGCCAATTTTAGTGTGTTTTAAATCAAAACAATGAGGCAATTCTTTTTAAACAAGGACAAAAACAGGTCTGCAGAAGCAGCACGACAACGTGCCTTATTTCTCTCCCCTCACTCTTGCAGTTAGAAAAAAAACATCTCTGGATGTATTTTTACGTGAGAAGTGCAGTCCTACAGCAACTTTTCACTATTTTTCCTATTTTCCACATGGAGGAACTCATCCTAGTTTCCCCTAAACCAATATGTCAGCCTCCGTCTACAACGTGGTCACGTGACAAAGTACTTGACTGTTCGACTTTGAGAATAAGGATTACCTGTAGAAACAGCTTTTATTTTTAAGACTTTTACAGCATTTTGTGGACTTGAAAATGGAATATTGTGTGGCCTTTGGGTTCACAAGTGGTGCAGGGTCAGCTGCCAGCTTTTTAAATTTTATTTAAAAGTACAGTGTGTAAGATTTGTTGTTTTCAGCGACATCTAGTGGTTGAGTGGTTGAATCATCCTCCCTGGTCCTCCCCCCACCCCCACCCCCCGCTTCCAAACACAAAGGAGTTGCTACAGTGTCTCTCAGGTATCAAAAACCTTTGATAATTCCAACCGCGATATCTACCAGCAGCTTCAGGGCTAGTGATGTTTCAAGTGGTAAGATTATGAGCTTTAATAAGTAAAATTATCCCAGCTACAATGACAGACAACAAATATTATATTTATAGTATTACAAGAGGGGTCACACTCTTAAGCCTCCCTGGTAAGGTCTATTCAGGGGTCCTGGAGAGGAGGGTCCATCGGATAGTCGAACCTCGGATTCAGGAAGAGCAGTGTGGTTTTCGTTCTGGTCGTGGAACACTGGACCAGCTCTACACCCTCAGCAGGGTCCTGGAGGGTACATGGGAGTTCGCCCAACCAGTCTACATGTGTTTTGTGGACTTGGAGAAGGYGTTCGACCGTGTCCCAAGGGGGGCCTTGTGGGAGGTTCTCCAGGAGTATGGGGTACCGGGCCAYTTGATACGGGCTGTCAGGTCCTTGTACGACCGGTGTCAGAGTCTGGTTTGCATTGCCGGCAGTAAGTCGGGCTCATTTCTGGTGAGAGTTGGACTCCGCCAAGGCTGCCCTTTGTCACGATTCTGTTCATTACTTTAATGGACAGAATTTCTAGGCGCAGCCGAGGTGTTGAGGGGATCCGTTTTTGTGGCCTTAGGATCGCATTTCTGCTTTTTGTGGATGATGTGGTCCTGTTGGCTTCATCGGAACGTGATCTGCAGCTCTCACTGGAGCGGTTCGCGGCCGAGTGCGAAGCGGCTGGGATGAGGCTCAGTGCCTCTAAATCCAAGGCCATGGTCTTGAGCCGGAAAAGGGTAGAGTGCATTCTCCGGGTCGGGGGGTCGTCCTGTCTCAAGTGGAGGAGTTTAAGTATCTGGGGATCTTGTTCACGAATGGGGGAAGAACGGAGCGGGAGATCGACAGGCGGATTGGCGCAGCGTCTGCTGTAAAGGCGCTGTACCGGGCCGTCGTGGTGAAGAGAGAGCTGAGTCAGAAAGCGAAGCTCTCGATTTACCGGTCGATCTACGTTCCTACCCTCATCTATGGTCATGAGCTTTRGGTCATGACCGAAAGAACGAGGTCCCGGATACAAGCGGCCGAAATGGTTTTCCTCCGCAGGGTGGCTGGGCTCTCCCTTAGAGATAGGGTGAGAAGCTCGGTCATCCGGGAGGGACTTAGAGTAGAGCCGCTGCTCCTCCACGTCGAGAGGAGTCAGTTGAGGTGGCTCGGGCATCTGGTAAGGATGCCTCCTGGACGCCTCCCTGGTGAGGTGTTCCGGGCACGTCCCACCGGGAGGAGGCCCTGAGGAAGACCCAGGACACACTGGAGGGACTATGTCTCTCGGCTGGCCTGGGAACGCCTTGGAGTTCCCCCGGAGGAGCTGGAAGAAGTGGCTGGGGAGAGGGAGGTCTGGGCCTCCCTTCTGAAGCTGCTGCCCCTGCGACCCGACCCCGGATAGGCGGAAGAAAATGGATGGATGGATGGATGGATGGATGGATGGATAGTATTACAACTAAAACTGTTTTTGACGCCGCCACCGCAGTTTGTCCTTCATGAGCCTTCGTAGACAAGATGGCGGCTGCCTGTAGTGGCGACCATGGAGATATGAACAGCTTTTTATAAGGTAAAAATAATAAAACAAGGTCTTTGTCTGCAATGATTAGACATGTTTTTTATTATTGTCATTGGTGATTATCTCAATTTTGGCTAAAAGAATTGACAAAATCCTACACACTGTGCCTTTAAGATCCTGAGGGCAGATGATTTGTGTTGATGTGGTGTGGAAGGAAGACTGGAAAACAATGAATCCCAGCTCTGCTCAGACCATTTAAAGACTCAAAAAGCAGGGTTACAAGACTTTGCCTATTCAGTGCTTCACAGTTTGAGTAGATCCTTTAGTTTGTGACCAAAAGGCTCGATTTGAAGGAGGACGTCAACAATATTTACCTGCTGGATTATAAACAACACAGCCATGAGGGGACACTGCAGCGGTCAGAACAGGAACTTTTTTAGCAGCATCAAGAGCCAAAAGTCTGCTATGAAAACTAAACAAAATGCTGAGTCGCCTTTTTATTAGGAGTATTAATTATGAGCATAATCAGGTGGGTCTGCTCAGAGAGCTACACTGAGCCCCTCGAACAGGTCTGCAGCAGAGGAGTGCCTATGGTTAGCAAGCTAGTAGCATCTTCTCTTCAGGTGAAACAACTCTCTGAGCTTCAGTTCTTATAAATGACCCCTGTGCGCACCACCAAAAACCAGAAGTTAGAAAGTCTAAAGCTCCTGTGTTGAATAGTTGTTGAGTTATAAGCATTTTTGCATGTCCAGACACCCCGTCTTTGAAAGGAGCCCCCTCCTCAAATATGGAGTCTATTGTAAAGCCGTTGGCTTGCGCAGTGTAGGTCAGACTCATCTACAGTCCTGATAAATTTCATGTTGATTGGTGCAGCCGTTTCTGTGGTACAGTTGACCAAAAATCACTGAAAACAAAAACAAAAAAAACCCAGTACAAAAACAGTGACTCCAGCTTCGTGTGCAGGGGTCATATTAACATTTGAAATATATCATTGTGTGTTAATGAGCATTACACTTTATAATATACAAGTTTCACCTTTTTAATGAAATGACTGAAATAAACTTTTTCATGATATTCTGATTTTATGAGCAGCACCTGTAAATATTTGGACTGAACTTTGTTTTCACCCATCTTGTTCATATTTTCAGATCTTATTTCTTTCAGGAACAGGTTACAAGAGAAGTACAAATGTGGTGAAAAGTTAAATTTTATTTTATTTTATTTTTTTCAGATTTGCTTGTAATTTGTGTGATGGAAAAATGTACAAGCTAAACAGTCTCAACGTGGATGACAAATAAGTGTTTTTTTAAATTATATATTTATTTGTGTGTTCTTTCCCCCTCAGGGGAGTTGACTCAGGGAGAGCTGTACTCAGCCATCAAGAAGGAGAAAGAGCAGACAGAGGCTGCAGATTACACTACTACTGTCTTCAGTGGAGAGATACACTTCTATGAGTTGGTGGAAGACACTAAAGATGGGATCTGGTTGGTTCAGGTGAAAATATTCACACAAAAGAAACTGTTAAGGGTTTTTAAAATGGGGATGTCTAAAGTACTTACGTGTAGCATGTCACATCAAGTCAATGATTCTCTGACTAAAAAAAGCAAAGAATAACGTAAGATTTCTGTGCCATCAGTTTGAGCTCACAGTAAGACTGATGCAGGTGTTACAAAGTATTCAGAATTGTACGTCCTAATAATTGTGTAGAAAACCTGTACAGGGAGCGGCAGCATTCACAATACCTCAGAAACTCACCCAAATGATTGAATTCTGTGAGATTTTGCATTTTATACTGGATTCCATTTTGTTTTGTCCATTCTGTGATTCCGTCTGTTTTCCATATCACAGTGATCATCGGCCCCTACATATCCCAATCCTGTTATTTATTTATGTTTTTACACACCTGGAAGTTTTTCCACGTACCTCCTGTAATCACTGATCTGGACAAAGCAAGCAGCACTGTGAGGATCAGGTTCTTTGATTTCTCCAGTTCTTGTAACACAATTCAGTCTGAGTTTGTCTGAAACTCCAGAAGACTCCGGTGGAGGCCTCAACAATCACCTGGATCAAAGACTACCTGACAAACAGACCACAGTTTGTGAGACTGTGTGTCTAACCAGGTGGTCAGCAGCACAGGAGCACCACAGGGCACTGTACTCTTACCATTCCTTTTCATATTTTGCACCTCAGATTAGAGGTGTCCTGATCCGATATTGACATCGGTCCGATATCAGCCAAAAAACGAGTATCGGATTTTATCAGCCTGCATAAAAATGTCCGATATAAGTGCTCTGATATAAGCAGTCCATTCCAGCAGTCCCCTGACTCCACTCCAGCTTCTCTATCCAACAGCGCTTGGATCCAGCATGCAGAGCCCACGTGATCACAACATCATGCAGCGCTAACAAGTTGGCAAGAAGTAGGAGCGATGTCAGCAGTACTTTGTATTTTCATCAAAACAGAGTTGAAGCTAAGTGCAAAGTTGTCACGCACAAGTTTTCTGTGGGGGAACAGAAACGTTTTAAACCGGAGAGACAACCACTCTCCACCCTGGTACCAGCTATGTGGCTCGGCTCGGCTTTTGTCCAGTGTGTCTCCATGGTTCCTGTTTCAGAACCTCCTCTCACTCCGGTGGTTCTAGTAGGCAGAAGCGAGTACAGCACGCTTACGGTTTTGTCAGCAGAATGCTGCCCGTGGATTAGCTCTGGGATTGATTGACAGAAGAAATGAGAGCACAGCTTTGTTCTGGAATACGAGCGCGACATGGCGAGAGCAGTGATAAAAACTGCTCCCTGCAGGAGAGAGAGGCTGATCTCCACATGATGCTCAGACTGTAGAAAGTGGAAAAGCAGCAGTAAGAAAGGTAGCTATCAATTTAATTAATCAACTAATTCTTACTATTTATTTTTGCTCCTGTTTGTAGAGCAATGTTTAATCTGTTTACACTCTCGTTTTAGTGAAGATTAAGTGCAAAGATCACGTTGTTTTAGTTACAGTCAGTAAAATTAGCTTTGGACTCAACTTTGAACAGACAATAATGTGGGTTTTTTTGTCCCCACCTTCAGTTATTCCCACCATAAAGCAGCACCAGGCTGAAAGATGGTAAAAACAACAACAATAATAATAATAATAACTGTAGTGATTTTGAATAGCTATTTTACACTTTAAAAGAACATTTTGTTTTTATTATTTTATTTTCAGGGTATTGTAATTTATTTTATTTATTAAATTGTAGAATATTCTTTAGTTGAAAATGTATATTTTAAACACTGATTAAAAACAAATGGGTCAGTTTTTCTCATACCTACTCTTTTTCACTGTTTGACTTGATCGAGACTTTTCTAAGATTTCACACTACAAAATAGGTAAATGTGTGTGATTCGTACTGATATGGTATCGAGTCAATATCGGTATCGTATCAGAAGTGATAAAGTTGTATCGGGACACCCCTACCTCAGATTCGAGCTGCTTCCCTTTCCCCCTCGGCCTGGGGAAACTGTGACGAGGGTCTGTGCTGCTCTGGATGCTGCTGGAACGCAAAGCGCTTTCCCCTTCCACCACTCCGACCTGAGGAAGTGGCCGCACTGCATGCAGCCTGTCTACTACTGTCGTAACGTTGTGCGTCTGCTTATAGTCATTTATTTTTACGTTTCTCAACTTCTGACATAAACGCCATGTTTGGAGGGTGGAACTAATGTAAACAAAAGGTTGGGAGGGGGTTACCAACAGCACGTTATTTGCATAAACAGCTGAAGAACAGGCAGAACTGAAAAGGTGAAATTTCATTATCTGAGATTAATTTGTGAATTAAATCAAATGAACATGTTTTGTAGAGCCCACAGATGGATCCTAACGTTCTACGACCCTTATGTTAGGTCCTCTTTGAAGCAGAGAACCAAGCCAGACTGTTTTTTAGTGATACTGTGATTTAGAGATGATGTCATACTGTGATTTAGAGATGATGTCATACTGTGATTTAGAGATGTCATACTGTGATTTAGAGATGATGTCATACTGTTACCAATCAGCATCCAGCTGTACTCTGTTCCGCCACAGCTCAGCAGCTTCACCCCATCATGTGCACCTGGGGTGTTGGTTGAGGCGTGCACTCTCACCATGTTGTGTGTCTGCAGGTCATAGCCCAGAACCAGGAAGCTCTCCTCAGTTCGTCCAACTGGGAGAAGATGGTGCAGAAAGTTTCTCAGTTTGGGATCAGAACTGGAACGTTCAACTGCTCCAGTGACAATAGGTAAATAAAGCAAAGTTACATTATTGACCACATTTCTTGTTACACAAAGTTTTCTATCACTCAGTATGGGACTATCGTCTTTTGAAGTAATACATATAGAGACATGAGTTGTAAAAAAATGTCTTGTTTCAACATCTAACTGTTGATGAGGTTTTCAGAGCCTCTTACTAAATGTTTTCACACTCAAACATTGAGTTCCTGGATTTTTTAATGATTTTTCTACACAACAGGTGCTGTGTTTTGGTACATGATTAGAGCAGCACTATATAATGCAAATATATAATCATTGTGATAACAGCCTGAGTAATAGGCATATTGGGGAAAAAAACTGATAAACTGTAATAAATGTTTGCATTGATGCCTTTTGTCAGCGTCTGTCTGAACAAACTGGACCCAAGAAACCACGTCAAATCATAACCTCCTGGTGGATGGATGTTGGGACAACTTCAGGGAGAGAATTAGACTTTTATTTAGAATTCTTTAACTTATTTTCAGATGTTTTTTTATTAAAAGAAAAACTGATTAGTAAGGGATGTTTTTCATTATTTAGAGCAGCAGAAAATGTTTTAAAGTCATAAAGAAACTGCGTTGCGTACAGTTAGTTGTTAGTTGCATACAGCTGTGTCTCGTTGCACAGTTGTAACAGAAATGATGTATTAGTTGTTTGATTCTGAACCCAGAGCAGAAAGATATCAATACTGCATACTTATTTGTTCATTTATTGCAAACCATATCATCATCACAATATTAAACAGATTCCACACTAGAGCTCGGCGGTATGACCCAAATTTTATATCACGGTATTTTTCAACAATTACACCGGTTTCAATGTATTTGACAGTATTTTTTTAATCACAGCTCAGCTGATAATAAAATGTACAAACYYWGCTTATTGACTTTTTTTCTTTTACTGTACCTCTGTATGACTGTTTCCCTCTTCTTGTACATCTTTTCTTCTTTGCCTGGTTGTAGACAGTAATCATGCATTTAGGTCCGATCGTGAAGGGTTGAGAAAAGATCATTATCAGGCCTATCGTTGCGGGTGAATAAAACTTAAAAGAACGACTCACTTTGCACACCAGACAACTCAGCTCTACTACAAAACTACCCCCCCGGCTTTTCACAATAGAAGCACGCTAAAGTCTCCATGCAATAATGTCTCCATTATAACGTAGCGCGTTAAATCTAACTGTGCACATCACTGAAGAGTTGTTTACTATTCAGCGATGGTGAAAACGGCATGTTTCTTTTTTTACATCAGACCATATAAGCAGCTGAAACACACCACCTGCTGCCAGTTGTTCCAACAATAACGTTAGCATGCTAATGCGCTTAGCAGTGCTGCGAGGAAAGGTGTCCCCCGGGAAACAGTTCACTGGCGGCCGCGACGAAATGATACGCACGTGTTCAGGCTATTTACACCGGTATTCAGAAAAGTCATATCGTAACAGAAATAAAAACCAGTTTTCGGTACAAAACGGTATACCGCCTACCACTATTCCACACATCACAAGTCTTCCTGATATGGTGCTGCTCTGTACAGGTTAGGGTTCAGTATTTAATCTGCATGACTTCTGGAGAATCGCTCTGAATCCTATTGTTGGCATAATCTACTGAGCAGTCAAAAAAAAAGAAAGAAAATCTCAAAAGTTGCTGCTGTAAAATAGCTTTCAGGGTGCTGAATCTTACCTGGAACCTTTGGTGTTCTAATTTGCTGTTGAACCTGTTCTCTTATGTCAGAGAAAATATGTTAGTTTGGATATAAAAATCAAAAATATTGCAAAGTTTTGCTCTCCTACGTGGTAGAGGAAACGAAGTGGGGTTTGATGAGTGGCTTGTTAGGCGCTTGAACCAATGAACTGTTCTACACTGGTGTGTTTAAATGTGTTAAAAATGACATTGTAACAAAATAGTTTAGTTTTGTTACCAATATTATTATTTTTAAACTTCAGGAAACGTCCTAATGAAATCCACAGTGATGAAATGTTGTAGTTGTTTTAATAAGTTATATGTATTAAGTTTTAATAATTTTTTATTGAACATAACAACAGAAGATAACAGAAACATTACAAATATACAGTTTTAAAATAAGATAAAATAAACCTTTATGGTCATTAGGAATGGGTTCCTTTGGTATTTGAATCGATTTGGTAACAATATCTGGTACCTGGGAATCTGTACCGGTACGTAACAGTACCGATTTTTGGTACTTTGTGTGTGTTGTTTTCTTTTTTATAATAAACTTTTGTTTTTTAACATATTTCTCAATATATAAAATTAACAAATATCCAGACAACATCCAACTCTTTGTATTGTAACATCAGTTGTGTAGCTAATATCTTTAAGGTGAAAACTCTTGAAAACAACACTGTTTTGTCTTATTGCACAAATTAAAATCCAGCTCAGCGTATTTCTATTGATGTTGTCGTGGCAGGATTTATTAAGAATGCAGAAACACGTTGGAATAAATGCACAAAAGTCTGCGTGTATGGCCGTCAATGATGATTTAATGGAGCAACAATATAAACAGAAGTCGATCAGGGAAATCTGTCAATTGTGGCTGCCGCGTCAGTGCAGAACAGCCGATAATATAACATCCTGTGACATGTTTACAACTAATCACCGTTCGCCAACTGTAACCATCTAACCAATGACAGAGCTGTCAGTCCTGGAAGTACCTTATCAAAATAAAAGAGGTCATGCATTTCTGGAGACTTGAAKTCTAGGGCAACAGATTAAAACAGTCGAACTAGTTATCACATGAGATACGATTACTGACAGTGTCAAGGTAAAGCAGTTATATAATTATTCCATAACAATGTCATTTCCCCGCTAGAATGATTGTGTGATGGAGGTCCATGGAAGGCAAATAAGTTTAAATCAAATAAGCAAAAGAGGATGGAGTTAAAATAAAAAAAAAGGTATTTAAGCTACGTTTTGAGCATCCAAAACACGGCCAACACTTCAAGTTGGCTTCTTGTTCTCTTTCAGGTCAGACATGTTCGGACTGTCAGGAAGAACCTCTGTTGTTTTCCTCTGCCGCTCTCTGTTTAATGCTGGATGAAATAAAGAAAGTGGCGGTACTTTATTTACTTTGAGCAAGCGAACGTCGTGTTCACAAGATAATTAATCCAGCAGATAATTCAGAGGCGGTCTGTTTGATGAGTTTAGGAGCTGCGAGGCTTTCAAGCTACGTTCAGACCGAGCTGTGTTTACTGCTGACGTCATTACGCTCTTGTTTCAGGACAAGCATGGAAAACTCACCACTCTTACACCAATACGGTCACAATGATGCGTTTAGGTACCGAAACATGGTTCCGTTTGTTGTTACGTGAATAGGTTCTCGGTAGTACCGACAGAATTGGGTCGGTACTTAAAAAAGTATCAAATTCGGTACCCATCCCTAATTGTCATTGTACAGAGCACAATGAAATTACAGTTCAGAACACCCAGTCACAATTCTTCATACACTCAAAAGGAGTGGGCAGAAGTATATTTATATTAGCCCACCTCGTCTTCTGCAACCTTATTCACATCACTTATTATTTATCAAAACAATTATTAATTAAAAATGAATACGTCCAACAACTCTGTCACCTGCAATTCCTTTTTACTTTAAAACCTTTTAAACTTGTGACGTTTTCTTTCAAGATTAAACAGTTTAATTTAAAAGTTTGTCCTTAAAACCTGTTGTTTATGTTGAAGAGAAAAAAATGATGCAAAAATACAACATCAATAAACATTTTAATCAAATCGTGATTAATCGATTCTGAACTTAATGAATTGAAATCAAATTGATTTAGAGAATTGGCCATGAAACCCAGCCCTAGTGATTGTCATGTTAATGTGATCCTACTCCAGAAATCTCTGTTTAATGCTTTGTTTTTTTCTCACCAGGTCATGCATTAAGCGGGGCTGGCAGCGCTCCACTCTCATTATGTCAGCTCCTCAGACTTCAGCATCAAAGGGAAAAGTCATGCTTAAAGAATACACCAGTGGTTACACTGAGATTGAACAAATCTTTGGCTGGATGACCTCCCATGTGTCCAATCGAATCAAAACCCTGCGTCACTCTGAGCAGCTGATAGAGGAGTGGCACTCGAAGCCAGCTCATTCTATGAGGATGTTCCTGTTTGCCCATCTCTCCCAGCCTCCTGCCTTCTTCTCCTCGCTGTCTGTCAAGTTTACTGGCAGGATCGAGTTCATCTTTGTGGACGTACGTCGTTGGGACAACCACAGCAGTCTATCAAACATTGGCGTAACGCAGACCCCTGCTTACATCCTCAAAATGCCCGAGGGTATTTATCGTTACGGGAACAGGTGATTTAAATAAATGCTTATCATGGATTAGAATTTTCGTATCACTTTAAAAAGATATCTTGATTTGACATCCTCCTTCCTCTTCTGTTCACCACTCCTTAATAGCACCGGGGAGTTCCTGTCTCTGGCAGCCATGGATACGTTTCTGCGCTCAGTTCAGCCAGAAGTCAATGATCTATTTGTCCTGAGTTTGGTCCTCATCAACCTTCTGGCCTGGATGGACCTCTTCATTACTCAGGTCAGGAAGGGCAGTCATTGTGCCTCAGACAGTACTATTCACACCCCTTGAAGATCTCAGTTTTATCATTTGACACACCCAAAAACCTTTGCTGGATTTTCTTGTGACAGACCAATAAAAAGTTGTGCATAACTGTAAAGTGATGCCTCTTAACTAAAGTCCAGTGCCTCCAGAGGTCTCCTAATTAATTATCCACCTGTTTGTGTAATTAAATCACAGGAGAACTCCAGATGGCCTCAGAGCTTTGGCTGTGTCCAAAACGACAGGCCAGGTCCTCCGGAGGACCCAGACTACCCGGTTGCGGCGGGCCGGGTCCTTGGTAGACCCGGAAGACCGGAAAAAAAGAGGCTGTGAATTTGGATGGTCTCTAGCCTCCCCTCCTTACCCCAGCGTACGTCATGTCACCTAGCAACTGTGACGACGCTAAACAAGCAAACTTAAATCAAAATTAGAAAAATATCAATACATTAGCATTATTAATATCACAAAACTATAAAATTAACTTAAAGGTAACATTTGAAGAACTAATTGACCCGCTGTAGGTGCATGTTTATTTCACGTTTTTATGACGAAAAAATAATATTTAAAAACATGTCCATACAAATGATAAAAGTATTAGAATTACAAACGCTAATTTTTTAAAATTTTTATATTGCCATATTTTTATTTAAAACGTATTCTTTTCTCTCACTTCGTCCGCCATTACTAGCATAAAAAAATCTCTGGTCGGGCCGCAATGCATTGTGGGATACGCTGGGCCGGGAAGGATCCATCAGACCTGTCCTTTGATTCGGGCCAAAGGAAGGACGTATTTGTCGGCCGCATCGGAGGAGTCTTCGGTTTTGGACGTCCTTCGTCGCGGCGCTGTGATGTATGCGGCCGACAAATTCGGCCTTCGGAGGACCCGGCCTGCTGTTTTGGACACAGCCTTTGTTACACATTTGACAATTTCTGTAGTTTTCTGGGCGCTACTTTTTGAGACTCTTCATCTCCTTCCATAGCTAAAAATACATGTGTGAAAAGTGTAGATATTAGCAGAAGTATTAGCATTACGCAAAAAAAAATAGCAGACAAAAGTCCGATGAAAACTTTAGCAGCATTTATCTTTAACAAAGCTTTGAGGCAGATAATTTTCTTCAAGGGTTTTTAGTAATTCAGTTACTGGATTTGTTTGAGGAGTTGTTTCACATCTGGTCCATATGCTGAATGTCCCGCTCAGTTCTGGCAGTGGAAGTAGAGTTTTCCACCTCGACTTTTACTATTCTGACAGTATGTCCCTGATTTAAAATGACTCCCCGTACACACAGCAAACCTTTTCTTTGTGGAGGAGAGAAAACCATTTTCTCTCTTCTAAACAGTAACACCACCCAGCATACGGCCTGCTTCATTTGGTTCTTCATAAATGCAAGTCCAAACAGCAACAAAGTTGACACAATAGTTCTGCTTGTAGTTTTTGCCCTCTCTAAATAAACAGGTATTACCTTGATCCCTGATACTCCAACGCCTCAGTTTGAGAAGGCCTGTGTTTGTATGTGGCTGATCTGTCACAAGGTTCATCATACTGCTCTGGTTTCTAACAACACAACCTAAGAACAAACATCCTAAAGGACCGTCATTTTCTACAACCACAATTCCAGTGCAGTTCGGATGTTGTGTAAAACAGAAGACCATATTTTGCATATGCATTTCGACCTATATTCAACTGAATACACTACAAAGAAAATATATTTAATGTTCAAACATATAAACTTTATTGTTTTGCAAATTTGCTCATTTTGAATTTGATGTCAGGCTCTCGGGTGAAAGTGAAAGTGAAACTTAAATGGTCTGCGGAGCTCCTAACATTACTTCTCACTCAGTGAAGCTCTTTCCAGATTAAAAAAACCTTTTGAGGAAAAGTATTTTCAGATGCCAAGTAAACTGCATCATGGCAGCCCCCCACCACCACCACCGAAATGGGCGAGACAGAAGCGGAAGGTGGTTCTTAAAGAGACAGAGGCCAATTTCAAGGCGTTTAGAAGAGGAAGTGATGAGAAGAAAAGTTTATTTTCTATTTAAACATAAAAACAGCATTTTAATAACAGCTAAAGGTGACAAAGATACTTTGTTAATGTATAGTATTTAAATATATACCTGAGAAACACATAATATGACCCCTTTAAGGAATGCTTAAACACCTGTTTGGTGTATTCCACAGGTGCACAGGTTAACTGGAAACAAATGAGTGTCATGATTAGGTATAAAGGGAGTATCCTTGAATGGCTCAGTCAAGCAAGGATGTAGCCCAGTTTGCATCTTTCTGAACAACTGCATGAACAAATATTCTAACAGTTTAAGAACCTTTCTCAACATACAACTGCAAATAATTCAGGGATTTCTCTTCTACAGTCCATAACATGAAAAGATTCAGAGAAACTGGACAAATCTCTAAGATAAGATAAGATAGACCTCCCATTCAGAAGAAGACAGAACATAAACATAGGAGAACAGGTGCTCTGGGTCATGCAGCAAGACTGAAAACCAACACTGAATACCCATGACCTCCATCAAAAGCCCACATCATTCTGTAACGAGTATTAACACATGGGCTCAGGAACACTTCAGAAAACCATTGTTAGTGAACACAATTTGTCACTAAAAGTACAAGTTAAAGCTCTACTATGCAAAGCTGAAGCTATATCCACAACACCCAAAACTGCTGGTGGCTTCTCTGGGCCCATGTGCATCTGAGATGGACTGATAAGTGTAAGTGTCCTGTGGTATGATGAGTCCACTTTTCAAATGGTTTTTGGAAATCTTGGACATCATTTATTTTATTTATTTTGTTTAAAACTTTATTAATTTCTTGAAAAAACAAAAGTACTTCTATGTACAATAAAAAGAAAATACAAATAAAACCAGACATGGGTTTTTACGATGTAAAAACAAGTGTGCATTGCCACGTAGCATGTCACTGCAGCATTGGACTTGCAGAATGAACTTTGACCAAGTTCAAATGTGTTTTCTATACCAGCTTGTGCCTGTCACGTCAGCAGGTGTTTAGAATTAAGGCAATTGTGTGACAATATGAAGTTTGAAGAGATTTTTTTCTTAAAGTTGCATTAGCTGGGTTTTAAACCCTGATCTCCCACATGAAAGCCCATGACATAGACCATTAGACCAATGGAGTTGTGGCAGAAGGTGGTGGCAGGGGTTGCTTTGTATGTGTGCAGAAAGAGGCCACATTGCCAATAAAATTATTGACACTAAACTGCATAATATTACAACAGTAGAGCAGTATTAAGACAATATTATAGTAAAACATCAAAATACAATCATATTAATATTGTAAACACTGAGCAATTGAGATGAAATATTAAAGTATGGAGCAGTACCAAGTTGAGTCCAGCATGGGGCAGTATTGGACCATTACAAGGCCGCATTGACTCCCATTATATGCATTTTGGAATAAAGTTTAAACATTAATATTTCAAAAACTACAAGTTGTACAGGCAACAGAAGGCATAGCAATCATTTGGCACAGGACATTTACAGATAGAAATTACAATGGCAGCTGTAGGACAAAGTATGCAGGAGGAGTAGCGTGGTGACGTGAAAGAAGACGGAATAAGTTGAATAATAATAATATTAAAGAGAAACAGGAAAACAATAGATGAAATGAAAGGCGACAGAGAGAAGAAAAGTTCTTATATCTGCCCCTTTGTGCTGCGATATGGAAGCTCAGTGCAGTTTACTCGGCATCTGAAAATACATTTCCTCAAAGGTATTTTGAATCTGAAAAGGGCTGCACTGAGTAGTAGTACTGGGAGCTCAGCAGACAGTTTCAGTTTCACCAGTTGTTTGCTTTGTTGGTGCTGATAGCCTGCAGGAGTCACGGGTGGGGTGCGGGGGGTGGGGAGGTGTTTTTTTGTGACGAGGAAGCTCAGCTTGGAGACAATTCAGTTTATTTATATAGCTCCAAGTCACAACATACGTTGTCTCAGGGCACTGTACATAAAAAAAAAACAATCTAAAGAAGAAACCAGCAAAACTCGAGATAAGACGAGACAGGACAGAATGTTGGTGTAATTTAGTGATTTAATATGAAGTGTTAGCATATCTGATAGCTCTGCTTCCAAAAAACACTGTTTTCTGATGGTAAACTAACAAAACGTAAACAGTTGTCTTCAGAACAGATTGATCAGTCACTGAAAATAAGATTAAATACGCTTCAACCTGATGAACAAACTAACTTTATGAAACTTAACATCTGCAGAGGACGGCTGCAGCGTGTTAGTTTCTGTTGGTGTCAGGATGTTTGTGCTGCTGCTGTCCTGTCATGGAATAACTGAGTCTATAGTTTACTTTGGTTGATTTTTGATCAAATGTAGCCACCTTTGAAAAGTTTTTTTTCCCTCTTTGACGCGATCGTCTCTCTGTTCCACCATTATCATCGCTCTTTGATTTGCCCACAGCTTCTTCTGGGGTTTGCAGAGTGGCACGCTACGTTCTTCTTCTTTGGTAAACAAAGCATTCGCAGATAATAAAGGTGTAGGAGTACACCTATACCTCTTATAACAGGTTATAAGGAATACATTTTAGCGAAGGATGTCTTTATTTTCGGTAAAATATTCTTCCCGTGCAAAATGAATGGACACACAAAAGTGACTTTCAGTCAGTGAATTTTGATTTGATCCATAAATAAATGTGATTGTTAATTTTACAAATCAGACAAAATCACTAAATACACTTAATTGTGAGTAATCAGTTTATAATTAGTTTATAGTTAATAACATAAGCTTCAAGCTTCTTTAATTGTCAACTATGCACTTTAAATAGAAACACAAACGTCAAGTGAGATGTTTAAAACCAGACATTTGAGGCAATTAAGTTGGCAAGGAAGATTTTAAGAAATGAGGAAAGTAAGGTGTTAGCTTTTCCTACTTTTAACTTAAATAAATGTGGGTTTAACCAGATAGGCGAAGCGTTCTATGCGTCAAGCCGTAGAAAGAAAGCGAAGCCAACTGGATCCCGGATTTCAAAATAAAACTTCCGGCAGGAAAGTTTTAAAGTTGGATACACCAGGTTTTGGTTATCCAGGCTGTGCAGTTTCCCCGTTGGCGGTAAATGGGTAAACTGACACAGCTTCAGCTCTTGATTCCCCCGAGAGAATCTAGCTGTCAGTGTGACTGACGGGCGGTCCGTCACTTACAGCCGTCCGGGCGTAAACTGTTAGTTTCTAAAGCTTAGAGAATCTAAGTTCCGCCCCGGATGTTAGATTAGAAAAGTTGTATCAAGGAAAAATGTTAGTTCAAAGACTTGCCGTCGCCTCCTGAAACTAAACAAGATTATTGCTTCTGTGTGGTTCAGAAACAAAACATTTCATCACCCATTTAATTATTATCTGATGAGAACTTCTTAAAACCACATAACTGAAAGAATGAATTACTTCAAATTCAAAACATTTGCAAATATGTTTCAGACAAGTAAAACATTGATATTTCATCAACTTTAAATCATGAAGCTTAGTTTAGTTAAATAAGATTTTTTCCACAGAAAAATCATACCTGACTGATATCATACTGAGGGAGAAAAGAGATCTGTCCTCTTTTCTTCTGTAACCTTGACAAACAGTCTCTGATTATCAAAATGCATAATAACTTTCAGTTAAGAGAACAATAAATTAAATAAGATGAATATTCTTCTGTCTATTATCTGATTAAGAAGGAAGAGAATGTCTCTTTAAAAAGTTAAGGCGACCTGAGGTGGTCTAAATACAGCTCTAAGTGGAACAGAGTTTTTGTCCCTTTAAAGTCCCATCGGAGGACTGAGGTTCAAGACAGTTCCCTTGATAATTTCCCTCGAGGTGACCCCTACAGAAGTGATTCTGCCCCCAGCGGTTAATGGACTGCATCACAGTTAGAAATGAACATAATATGATGCGTCAACGTTAAAATTCCTCATCAAATTATTTTCATAATCAACGTCTGACTAATCATTGCAACTGTGAAGGCACCATTAATGCTGCAGCTTGTGTGCTGTACACACAAGTCTTGGAGCAACAAAAGCTGCCATCCAAGCAAGGTCTTTGTCAGGGATGTCCCTGCTTATCTGAGGAAGACAACCACCACACCCCCTTCTGCACATGTAACAACCACATATGAACATTTAATCTCTTGTCCTTGTAGTGTATTCAGTTGAACATAGGTTGAAAAGCGTTAGCAAATCATCATTTTCTGTTTTTATTTATGTTTTAGACAACATCTCAACTTCATTGTAATTTGAGTCATAAATTAAACTGCTTTCCAGACACATACTTTCAACCATGCTTTATTTAAAGTTGCATAAATGTCTTGACCTTGTTTTTGTAGTGTTCTGTTTTTTAATGTGTTACTTTAACTTTAGAGTGCAGTTTGTCTATATGATTAAGTATAGATTTCTTCTAACTTGTAAGTTGAATGATTCAGTAATAAAGAGATCAGTAAGTGTTTATATACTAAAAACAAAACACTGATAAAGGACCATCCAGTATTTTGTTTGCTTTAAGCTTTCATACTTGAAATTAGTTAAATTTTGAAAACAAGCAGTGGTTAAAAACTGTGCTTAGGGAAATGTAGTTTTCTGTCTTCTGTATTTATTGTCTATTTATATGCAACATTTATCATTTTTCTTGGGCAGGGAGCAACAGTCAAACGATTTGTAGTTCTGATCCGAACACTTGGAACCTACAACTCCATATTGCTGGTGTCCTGGCTTCCTGTCCTGGTATGAAACCATCTGATCTTTATAAAACTTGAATATGTCATGACTGTAACATTGTTTTAAGTTTTACAATTCTTCATCAACAGCTAATTACATGTTATTTGATCATTAATGACAAAATATGGAACAAGATGGTGTCTTTTCCTTTTACATTCATACCTGTGTAAACTGAAAACCTTCTCCCTGTTCTTTGTGTCAGTAATTAAGCAGACTCTCAGCCATTGGTGGTTGTAGAAAGGCTGCTTAACCAAACCGTACTTGACAGTAAGAATAAGCTGATTCAGCAAGTAGACTGCAAGTATTAAAGTAAAAAACATATATAATCTGGCCAAAAATATTTAAATCATTTAAACTTATAGGAAATGAGAATTTGCCGCAAATTAATTTAATATAAATACTGTAAATCATGCAAAATTATACCTGTATTCTATACTTGTAGGAAAGCATTCACCATTCTTTCAGCAGTAGACTTCTACTGTATCTTTACCAGGTTGTGAATGTATTATAAAAACTAAAAACCACACATTTCATCTTATGAACATGTGCTTATGAAATGCACGTTCAGCTAAAGAGCTGCTTGGCTAAAGCTACGGAGGCATTCAGTCTTATCACCGTTCACTTAAAGCTTAAAACTAAAATCAAAAGCACAATCCAACAACTCCAAAACAATTTTGCAGACAAGTTGGTAGGGATGGGAAATCGTCCCTATTTTCAGATCATAATTCACGGTCATTGGCTATCGCCGATAGACGATCCAATCAACGATCCAATAAGGCATGCGCAGTTACGTTGTTAAAAAAAAAAGCAAGCAGGTCCTCTTATTATAAGCAACGGCTTCTTTTTTCTAAAGTCGCTTGTAAATTCTGTGGTTATTCGGCGTTTGTGTTCGCACATACCTTTCATAGTTCCTGAGACCCCCTGCGCCGAGCTCCTGGGAAACCCCCCCACCCCCGCCCGCTGCTGCATACGTCTCTACAGGGATTTCTACTCGGAGGGAATCCAATGTAGACAAAAAAAAAAAGTCAGACACTCGTCACTCGATGTTGTTTATCCACAAACTGGTTCAGGATTAAACTCAAAAGTTTTTATCAGTCAGATTTCACCGTGAAAATCGTCAGTTTTATCCCCTTTCATGAGGTTTTGGCCGTTTGACTATCTTTAAACCGCTGCTTCCTGGTAGTCGGCGTTCGAATGAGTCACTTTTTTCTCTCTCTTTTTTTTAAGCGAGTGGTTGAAGCAAACGCATCGTCTGAGCACTTTTAGCACAAACACTCCCACAAACTTCTGACCAATCACACCATATAGTTTGTATCTGTTCTTATGTGGAGGGGGGTGAAAAGTTCGACCCGCACACCAGAGTCCAGAGTGACAGGGATGAGCAGGGGTGAGGGAGTGCGTTCCAGTCCAGTTCAGATCTGGTTAAAGTTATTTGTTCAAATGTATGATTGTCATGGATTATTCGTTTTGTAACTAAACGTTATAATATAGCACTATTTGGGTCATTTGTGGCTCACCAAAGCAAGAAGATGACGAGAAGAGAGACGTGAAGAGGAGCTGCGCACTGAAAATTGTAGTGGTTTTGAAACCGTGTCTTGTTCATAACACGATATACTGTGAAACCGGTATCTGGCCCATGCCTGAGTGAAAACGAAGCCTAGCCTTGTTACTTCAAAGAATTTTAAATGTTCAGGTCAGCACAGTGCCACATACACTCACCGGCCACTTTATTAGGTACACCTGTCCAACTGCTCGTTAACACTTAATTTCTAATCAGCCAATCACATGGCGGCAACTCAGTGCATTTAGGCATGTAGACATGGTCAAGACAATCTCCTGCAGTTCAAACCGAGCATCAGTATGGGGAAGAAAGGTGATTTGAGTGCCTTTGAACGTGGCATGGTTGTTGGTGCCAGAAGGGCTGGTCTGAGTATTTCAGAAACTGCTGATCTACTGGGATTTTCACGCACAACCATCTCTAGGGTTTACAGAGAATGGTCCGAAAAAGACAAAACATCCAGTGAGCGGCAGTCCTGTGGGCGGAAATGCCTTGTTGATGCCAGAGGTCAGAGGAGAATGGGCAGACTGGTTCGAGCTGATAGAAAGGCAACAGTGACTCAAATAACCACCCGTTACAACCAAGGTAGGCAGAAGAGCATCTCTGAACGCACAGTACGTCGAACTTTGAGGCAGATGGGCTTCAGCAGCAGAAGACCACACBGGGTGCCACTCCTTTCAGCTAAGAACAGGAAACTGAGGCTACAATTTGCACAAGCGCATCGAAATTGGACAAGAGAAGATTGGAAAAACGTTGCCTGGTCTGATGAGTCTCGATTTCTGCTGCGACATTCGGATGGTAGGGTCAGAATTTGGCGTCAACAACATGAAAGCATGGATCCATCCTGCCTTGTATCAACGGTTCAGGCTGGTGGTGGTGGTGTCATGGTGTGGGGAATCTTTTCTTGGCACTCTTTGGGCCCCTTGGTACCAATTGAGCATCGTTGCAACGCCACAGCCTACCTGAGTATTGTTGCTGACCATGTCCATCCCTTTATGACCACAATGTACCCAACATCTGATGGCTACTTTCAGCAGGATAATGCGCCATGTCATAAAGCTGGAATCATCTCAGACTGGTTTCTTGAACATGACAATGAGTTCACTGTACTCAAATGGCCTCCACAGTCACCAGATCTCAATCCAATAGAGCATCTTTGGGATGTGGTGGAACGGGAGATTCGCATCATGGATGTGYAGCCGACAAATMTGCRGCAACTGTGTGATGCCATCATGTCAATATGGACCAAAATCTCTGAGGAATGCTTCCAGCACCTTGTTGAATCTATGCCACGAAGAATTGAGGCAGTTCTRAAGGCAAAAGGGGGTCCAACCCGTTACTAGCGTGGTGTACCTAATAAAGTGGCCGGTGAGTGTATGTTGCACAGTGCTGGGGGTGAGACAGCTTTGCAAGCTACCTTTTTTTTTCTAGGAAGATGTGACAGGTGGGGACCATATCATGTTTACCTCATCAGTGTAATTACTTTTGCATCATTCAGCAAGAATCACCAACACAGACCCCGCAGGTCTGTGCATATCCTAAAAATAGCGCTCATCAGCAGCAGAGCTATGAGTTCATTTAATGTCCCTCAGCATTTAAAAACGTAACCAGAGTAACTTGTGCTCTCTAAACGCCATAAATCCAGGCAAAAGGAGCTGCTGTTAGTCCACAATTCATGCTGGGCTCACAAAAACTCAGAGCTGATTTACCCCTCGACTTAAGGCTGCAGCATGCTGTATCCAAACTGCCCAAACATGGCCGACCTGTCGCAGTTCCATGATGAACACCGCGTCATTCTGTTTGCATTGGCTGTGTGGGCCACATCCTCCCTGGGCCGGGTAGGCTGCTCAAAAAATGAAATGGGGCAGTCTAGCCTTCATTTGACGTAAGTTTACGCTCCCATGAGCTCCCACGTTACCACAGTAGTCAGTTTCATATCAGACTTAAAATGTGTTGGGACATGTATTTACTCGTCTTTTTACTGGAAGAACAACTTCACAATTAAAACGTTACATGTAAATAAATAAATAAACATTAATAATTCGGGTTTAGCTCCAGTATCTGTACTTGTTGCATTTTTTAAATTTAACATCTTATTGCTGCATTAACTTCATCAGCTAAGTTGCTAAACTTACTTTTAAAAACAAATTCTTCGGTCTTTGGTGAATTTCCAAACTACGCCGACTCGTTAAAACAATAAACTTTCAACATACACAAACACGCCCACAAACTTCTGACCAATCACACAATAAGTTGTGGGGGGGGGGTTAACATTTCGGCCAGCGGGTTGTGACAAGAAGGGGCCGAAATGTCGACAATGCAAACAGAATGACGCAGTTGTCATCTTGAAGCTGTGACAGTCTGATTCCAGCAGTTTGGCTGGGTGCTTCACTCTGAACCCTGAAGTCAGCCTCAGAAAGTTTGGTGACTCCTGTCCAACAACAATTCATACTTTTGGTTTTAGAGATTTTAGCTGACATTTCTGCTGATGCTACAACTTTTTGTTTCATTGCTAAAAAACCAGTAGCCTCTGTAGCACCAGTGCTATGATCTAAACCAGGGGTTTTTAACCTTTTTGACCTCTGGGCCCAATTTGTTGAACATTAAGTGACACAAGGCCCAGTCAGACATTACCAATGTATGGATCAAAATGATAATTATTCTAAATCTTTGTTTAATTTTTATTGTATTTAAATCATAACTAAACTATCATAACTAGCATAACCAAATTAAATACACTTATAGTTTAAAAGTAAAACACCTGTCAAATAATCACAAGACATGATTATGACAAACATTTTTATATTGTAACCTGCCCATAACAATTATTTGAACAAATACAAAGGTCAGTCAACAGACCACTCAGGCTTATCAACACAAAAATAACATTTTTAAAACACAAACAAATAACAA